GATCAGAGTTCGCTTAGTGCTTTATCTCCAAAATTGAAGCCAGACCTTGGACTCAAGCATGGCCCAACATTTCTAGAACGAACTGTTCTATTATAAGCAGGAGTTCTCGATGCTGGCTACACTTCAGGATTACCCAGGCCTTTTAAAAACTACCAGTGCCAAAGCCCAAACCCAGACTAGTTAAATCAGAATCTCTGAGGCAGCCTGGGCAAAGACTTTGAAAAACAAAACAAAAACTTCTTAGGGGATGTGCAGCCAGAGCTGGGAACCGGTGCTAGTCAATTGCTTACAATGGAATGAAAGCAAGCTAACATTCGTATTTCAGTTTCATTGCATTCATTTATAGCAGGCAGATTTGCATATTGTACTTAAATAATCATCACAACTTGAAATTCTGACCAACAATTTTAGTCCTCAACATAGAAATTTCCTAAATGGTAGCTAGCAGTTGGCACAACATCCTTTTTCCCAAAGAATAATACATATGCTGGGGAATTCTCTCCAAGTCCCATATTTGCAAAGGCTAAATATTTCATTCATTTTAGCTGATTCTTTTGTGTCTTTTTGGTATTCCTCATTAGTAACTCACAGTCTGAAAATCAACTTCATCTAGATAACTAAAGACTACTGAGTATGCAAAAATTATGTGAAAGCACAATTGAAGAACGCATTTCCCTCAATTAATAAATAAAGAAAACATTACTCAGTGTTTATGGTAAGAACTTTAAATTATACTTATACAGACTTAATATGCACATGTATGCATGTGTTAGTGATAATGTAGATTAAGTTGCTGTAAGAAAAATATCCCAAAATACGGTGAATTAAATAAAATTGAAGTTCATTTCTCTCTCATGAAATAGCCAAGAGAAAGGTACTTTTTGGTACAATTGTTGCTACTTTTGGGATCATATCAATAGATTTAGAAAAAAACATTTTACAAAACCCCAGCACCTACTTATGAAAAAATAACAGTGGAAATAGATTCAACATACCTCAACATAAGAAAGATCATATATTGCAAACCTACCAATTTGTATTTATTTGGAAGCTGCAGAGGCTGCCCAACTTATCCAAATACTAGAAGAAACAAACTAAGATTATTCTTTAGAAACTACATTTTAAGATCTACATCTATATGCAAAATCACCTGGAAAAGAAACAATGGCTTCCAGGCCAATAGGACTCCACAAAAACCAAACTGAGAGTGAATTAGCCCTAATTAACTTGAAAACTAAAGGTCACTAAGCCAAGACTTGCTGATGGATTTTGTGAGCACTTTCTAAAAGAGGAGGAGTCAGGTTTCTAGCATTTACTCTCAACTGTAAGATTTCCCTGGAGTATCATAGATTCATTGTTTTATTTAGCCCAATGCTAGTAAGCATTCATGTCACATAATTCTCCCTGTTCTCATTTATGCTCATCTTTTGGACTTATAATTCTTATTATTTTCCATCACAAATTAAAATTTGGTTTCTGACTGTGATTTGTCTTCCCAAATAGACCCACGGACTGTAGACTTCAGTGAGGGCCTCCATGAGGAAACTTCTGCATCTTCAAAGCTCAAGACCAAGCCCAGCCAGCTAGCTTTCCTTGGGATAATATTTTTATACCACTTCTAATCATAAAATGGATCAAAATCTATACCTAGTACATAAAATGAGTTGATAGAAACTTAAAACTTCCCAACATCTGCGTAAGATTATTTCTATCATGATCATAGCTGAAATTCTTATCATTGTTTTTCCTTCTAAAAGTCCTGTGAGTTAATTTGGTTAAGGAGTTATATAACTTCAAAGCACTGGCTAAGTTTATGAGTAAGTTCATTGGGCTTTTTGTTGTAGGGACCAAAGACTGACTCAGGCTGCCTTAAGCAAGTTGGATGTGTTATAAGGATACAATTAGCACTTATGAGGAAGGAAGTCACAGGAAGTCTGGAAAGTCTGGAGCAATGAGAGAGACAAGAACCAAGCATGAGAATAAGAGTATTATGATTTTGCCCTTCAGCATCCAGAACTCAATGATTTTCAGTTTTGCTCTCCTATGTTCTCTCGTTATTTTGCCTCTTGGTGTTTTTCCTCCTGTTTTTTGTCCAGACCACTTTCTAACTTCTCCCTCTCTCAACATCCAAATTTCCAGAGAGGGAAGATCAGATTAGACCTCAATCCACTATCATTTGTGTTTCGGTAGGGACTTTGCAACATGCCAGTTCTGATGTTGCTAATTCCCTTTGGATTAGGTGTTCATTCCATACAACCACCTGGGTGAAGTAAGGCATTTGAGTGGTTGGAACCTAGCCTCAGGCACCCAGAAGTCTGAGCATGAAGCAGGTCTCCTGAGAAGAACATGTGGGTTAATAGAACCAGATAATTAGTTCATAGTGTCAGGAAATCCGAATGTATGTAAGTGAATGGGCTACATCAGAATCTTCCCGGATCCATTTAAAAAATACAGAATTCTGAGTTTCACTCCATATGTACTGAATTAAATTCTATATATAGGATGTCCCAAAAAATGTATACACACTTTTGTGGACGAAAGGAGCCACAAGCTAACCTGACAAGCTCAGAGAAGGCCTGTGTGGCAGTTTTGCAAACTCGGAGACCTAAATAACCACAAAAGATGTTCTGAAAAGTAAATACTTAACAAATAACAGGTTATAGTGGGCAGTCATGTCCTAGGCCAATATTTTCCCTGACAAAGATCAATTTAGATCTTTTCTGAGCCATTTGCCTTTTTACCTCTCAGATAACATACCATGTGACATCTGAGTAACTTGTAACTTCCCTTTTTCTGGAGCCCCTGGGGCACAACCAGATGTCCTGCGCACCAGGACAGATATCACAAATTCCTTCATTGTCACGTTAATTGTTCGTGTCCTCACTTAAGTATATGTCCATCATTTTACTTTTTATCCAATCCCAAGGGTTTCCCACCACTTTGCTTTATCCCCTCCTTAATCCATTACCAATGAATTTCATGTAACCCACCTATGTCCCTCCTTTGATTGCAACGTATAAATACAAATGTAACCCGCCATTCTCCGGAGCATTATCTCAATTCATTGAGGTTCTGCTTCCCGGCATATGTTGAAAGTTTGGCTCAAATAAACTCATAAAATTCTTTACAGGTTTCAATGAGTTTGTTTTTGTTAACACTTTGAATAATTATTGATTCCAATCGGTTAAATCTGAAAAGAAACATCAATTGAACTATTAGAAAAATGTGGTTATACATTTTTTGGGACACCATATATATATATTTGTGAGTACATGAAACATAGTTTATTGTATTATTATTATTAGCATTATTATTTATTACATTATTTTTGAGACAAACAACTGTATATCTACTTTTGCCCCATCCTGTGTATGTATGTGTGTGTGTGTGTGTGTATACATATATGATCTCCCCAAGTGACCACTACTCCACTGCTTTGACATTGTGAGAGGACAGTGAAAAATGAGAAGGGTCAGACTCAAAGTTATGAAGTCTTCTTGACTCTTTTAATAAATTTGTAGAGAAATGTCCATGTACTCTAAGTAGAAATGTGGCTGAAAGCACACTCAGAAAGTAGAAGCGCTGAAATGAAGTAGGTTCCTCCAAAGAAATAAAAATATAAGGAATGTGTCCCTATAATTCCCAGAGTTTATATAAAAGTCAAGTCTAAAAGACCTGCAAGAACTAATGTTATATTCAAACACTGCAACCCTTTGGCATGGCCTCATAAAAACTTGAGAATGTGTTTTCTTTTTCCTGGTCTATAACAGGTATATGCAGGGCATAAACAAAACATGTAATTTTATCAAAATGATACCTGAATTATTAATAAAATTTAATTTAAAAATAATTTAAGAAAATTTTTCATTTTAATGGAAGAAAAAAATAAATTTTTTGTGATGTTTTAAAGGAAGAGTTGTTTAGTATAAAGACAGCCTGATAATATCACTATAAAAAAATAAGCACATACTTTGGAATATTATCATCTTTATTACAAAACAAATATTTTATGTTGAGGTAATATTTCAAAGGGAATTTGGCAAAAATCAATTGAATTCTAGAGATACAATTTTGTTATGTGCAACATATGTAAAGCACTCAGAAGACAGCTTTTCTAGCATTGCACATGGACTGATTTTAGAAAAAATAAATAAAGCTAAAAGTTATCTTTTTAAAGAGGACTCTTCTTCTCCCACTCTCCCATCCAGTCCTCCACATCATCAGCAGTAGTCAATGAGGTGATGTTTATGGGAGTGCCACACAAAAAATATCAAAAATGATAAATTAGTTGGAAAAAGTTTTGTTAATCCAAACATCTCACACTGGTTCATAACTTGAAAGTGCTTTCACAAACTAAACATTCCACCATATAGGATTATAAATGAAATTCTCTCATCTTCAGTGAAGAAATCCTATGAAATGATCTGATCCAGGCTCTTCTCTGCTACAAAGCCCTCCCTTCCCTGATTCTCCAAAGCAAAGTTGGTTGCCCTTTTCTATGCTCTCATAAATTTTGTTCATACCTCTGTTACAGCACTCATCACATAGTATTGCAATCATTTTTGTTTCCCTCATATGTATTCCTCTATAGCTTTTTAGCTTTATTTATCCTCCTATAAGCTCCTCAGGAGCAAGAAACAAGCCTTGAGCTTCTTAATATCCCTAGCACCTAGCACAGTGCTTGGTACATAATAGAATTTCAATAACTGTTTGTTAGGTTCATGAGTCAGGAACTATTTCAGCTGTGGAGCTATAATGTACATCTTTCCTTGCTTCCAGTTTCATTTGAGTGTGTTCTGGTGTCATTCCAACTTATGTAAACCTTTATGGTTGGTGACACCCTAGAAACAAATACAATGTCCAGCAATTCCTTTCAGAAAGAAGTGGCCTTTAGTTATCCATCTGATATAAGCGTCAATAAGTTATAGTTATAATTCTTCCCCTATTCTCCAAACTCTAAGACTCCTTAATCTGAGAGCCACTTCTTAGGAAAGCTGGTGCTAATAGCCATCTTGGCAGTCATTGTCGTCCTGATCCCCACTGGGTTTGTTGTGATAAGCATCAACCGTTAGTTTTCTGCTTTCTATCTCAGTGTTTTTTGACTGGCCATCTTCCTCACTGCTTGACTTGCTCTCAGTGGAGTTGCTGTCTTCTTGTGATTTGCTGCTGTTCTGAGAATCACTGCCGCCATCTTCCTCAGACTGGCTCTCGTCGCTCTGGCTCTCCTGGCTCTGGCTCTCTGTGGAGGCACTGTGAGACTGGAGGCCCTCCTGGCTAGAGCTGTTCCCATCCTCGGTGGACTCTGGGCTCTCCTCCGAGGATGGGCGGCTCTCACTGGATTCACTATCAGCTTGCTCCTCTGTGGATGTGCTTTCTGAACTGGAGGGTGTGCTCAAGCTGTCCTCTTCAGTGGAGTCACTGTGGTCCTGATCTTCTGAGTGACTGGAGGTATTATCTGGGTTGTCACCCCTGGACTTACTCAATAACTCTTCCTGAGATTCACTACTGGTTTCTTGAGATGGGAGGTCAACCTCTTGACTAGACTCACTACTGGGGTCTTGTTCATTTTGACTGTCTTTCTGGGACTGATTCTCCTCACTATCTTCTTGAGATTCACTCCTGCTGTTTTTCCTGGATTGTCTGAGGCCAGCTTCTCTCGAGTTGGTGTTTTCTGGGGAGTCACTTTTGACTTCTCGGCTATTGCCAAGATCACCTCTGTCATCTTCCGCAGAAATGCGGGACTTTCTGAAAAATTTCCTACTGGGACTCTCCATTGATTGGCTCTCACCTGAATCCTGAGTGTTGGCTTGCTCATCACTATTTCCTTTTGATTCTTTTGATTTGACACTGGCGCTGCTCATTCTGGAGTGACTTCTCTCACTCCTGATGGTGTCTGGATCATCGCTCTGCATTCCTTCACCATCAAACTCAGATCCATCCCCGTGGCTGCTATCTCCCTCACTGCCACCTCCCATCCAGTGCTCCTCACTCTCACTCTCCTTGTCAACATCCCTGCTCTCACTGGTGGTATCTTGGCCACTGTCTTCTCCGTGAGAGGAACTATCTTCCCTGGACTGGGTGGCATCTGCTGAGTCTTCATTACTATCGAGTCTAGTATTTCCCTCTTGTGTCTCTTCAGGTTCTGGGCCATTGTCCTCATCACCAAAGGTGTCATCTCCACTGTCATCTTCATCGTCATCTTTATCAGCTCCTTCTTTTCCTCCATTCCTAGAAAAGCCACCAGCTGGCCTATGAGCATATGGATGATCCGCAAGGTGCAGGCCTTCCTCTGATTTGACACTGTCACTTGGGTCTTCATTTACCTGGAGTTTGAGGTTAACAGACATGGTCAGTACTTTAAGAGGTGATATAGAGGGTTTGTGTTATCTAGTATTCATCTAGGTTCTTTCTGTTTTCTTCCTCCTGTATCCCTCATCTAAACCATGGTCAATTTTACTGATCCATAACATCTCTACCAAAGGTTCAAAAGCAAGGAAGGAGAGGTAAAAATCAAGTCCTTCCATTTTATCACTAGAGGCCCATTGCACAATATTTGTGCAAGAATTGGCCTTCCTTCCCCTGGCTTCACTCCCAGCTGCCCGGGAGCCAGCAACTTATGTAAACCTTACTTCTGTCAGGAGCACCACTCCTGTAACTCCCTCCACTGTCCCCCCACCCCCTCATAGCAGGCATCCCACCCCTCCCCCACTCCACACCTGCATATGCAAATTAACCCACCATCTTTGTTGTGTTAATTTGCATAGTTACTCTGATTGGCTGTGGGCATAGCGAAGGTACAGTCAATTTACATATTTGTCTATTATTAGGTAAGATAATTCACTCATGCTGCAAAAAGTTCTCAAAAAACTTTATTGAATCACATTTATAAACCTCAAATTATATTGTGAGTATGATTTCTTAAATAAAACTCTCAGAGAATTTTTTTTGCAAAGAGTTGGTTTATAATGCTCACTCATCAAAATATTTGGTTTAAGACAAAATTTTTAAAAATACTGAATGATTTTTAAAAGACCCCAATTTTTTTTTTCTAATCAATTGGGGGAAAGGAGTGGATATATTAAGGCAGGAGGATGAAACCGTTAGCTAAAATGAAAGTAAAGTATTGCAATAAGGTATCTATCTCATTCAAACCATGTTTATATCTTATTATGCCCGTGAAAGGTTCAGCTAGAAGACTACCATAGCATGACTGTCCAGGCAGCCTGGTTCTAAGAGCTCGCACACATTATCCCCATAAATAAAACAATGGGGTGCTCTATACAAAGAAGGAAGGATAGTGAGTCATCATCATTGAGGTCTGGAAAATCTGCTCTTTGTCATATCCTATATTAGAACTTTCTTGCTAACATTTTTCCTTTTTTCTACATGTTCTTACTGATCAATGTCTGAGTTTCCAATCAGGAGTACAAAATGATGGGATCTCTTCCCGTTGCTAGTTTACACTGATATGCTGGAACCAAACATCAGTTTAGCTTTCCATACCTCATCAGGCACCTATAGCACCTTCCTCAAGCAGAGACTGTTACCCTGGTGTGAGCACACATTTCTTGAATGTTCCTCTGAAAAACCTTTAGTCAATAGTGGTGCAAAGCCTAATAATTCATCTTGCAACTGTGGTCGAGTGTAAAATGAAACATGGGTCAAAACTGCAGAGAAAAACCTGGTTCCTGGAATCTCTGGAGCCCCATTGGGTTCAGTTTGGTCAGAAATAATAGGACAGCTAAGAAAGTAATGACATTTAGTCTTAGGGAAATGAAGGGAGAGAAGGGAAAGAAGAAGAAAGACAGGTGTGTGTGTTTTATTAGACATATAAGCTAAGTCAATTTTTCTCAACCCCAGGACCACAAACTATTTTAAAGAGAAAGTCATTTCTGAGCCCCTCTTCATTCTGTTTTCTTCAGAGCTCTCCTATTCTCTCCTTAACAGAGTCCTGACATGAAGGAGGTCTCCAGGCCTAGCAGGCACTTCATGTCATGTTAGCCAGAACACTTTTCTCTAACTGATCTGATCTGCTCTAATTGTAAAAGCAGCATTTTTAATCAACAAGTGAACTAATGCTTGTCTAACATAGTCTCTGAACATTTTGTGTGTGTGTGTCTGTGTGTATGTGCTTGCGTGCGCATGTGCGTGCACATGTGCTTTTTAACTAGAGGGATATTTAGGGCCACAATGTCTATAACCTGGCTCCAGTGACAAATATGGAATGAACAGCATGTGCACATCTGAATCCTCCCACTCATTTTTTCCCTTCTTATTTTATGGGTCTTTTTAGTCAGCATAACCAATAGTTAGAAAATATTATATTTAGAACAGTTGCCAGGTAATTTAATCTAACATCATTTCCTTCCATTCCTAAACAGTCTGAAAAGTTAAGAAAGGTCTGTTTAATTACCTGCTCCTCTGAGCTAACTTTACTTTCTTCTGATGACTCACTGCTCTTCTAAAAGGAAAAAAACAAAAGTTGTTTAGTAATTCCTGAGGAAAGGAAAAAATATGATGCACATAAATTGCTTGTGGTTTGGGTTTACAACTTTCCAAATGGCCTGAGGTGATGGGAAGAGTGTTAAAGTTACTTTATGAGATGTTTACAACAACAAATAAACGAGATAGTTACCCATGGTGGTGTTTGTGTCTGAGCCAAATTACCCTGTAAAAAAGGGAAGGAAAACAAGTTACACCTTCACAGGTGATTCATGCCATCACAAATATTTAGAATACTTCTATGTAATTTTTTCTAAAGTTTCTCTGTATGTATTTTGAATTTGCATGATTACTAGTGACATTTTATGAAGAAATAGCTAAATATGAATGTGAGATGACTGATGGCCTGAAAAAAATCTTATGATGTAAAAGACCTGGAAGGTTTCTGTATATTTGGTACTTAGAGAAAATTTTACTTTCTTGGAAATGGGGTGTTTGGACAACCTAGAGAAAATGTAAGATAGGAAAAACACCGCAGGAATTCAGGACCCAGATTTAAGCCTCAATTAGTGCCTTGGTTTGGGTTTTAGCTCTGAAAACCAACATCTTGGTGTTAGCACTGAAACTCTTGTGTCCCAGGAAACCCTAAGTCTCAGGTAAATTTCATTGGTTGGCCACTCTATGTGAATTTGGACAATTCACTTCCTATGTTTGATATCATTTCTTATTCATAAATTAAGAATATTAGCAACCACTGTGCTTTCTCCACATGATTTCTATGAGGATGAATTCAGCTAGTGCCTATGGAAACATAGTGAGAACTGTTCAATAGGTTATAAACTAAAGTAATGATCCATTGAAAACACCTACTTTATAAAATTCAGTAATAGACAAAACTGAACAGAGAAAGCCTTTAAATCTTTCTCATCACATAAGGTCACAAAATAAAACACAAATTCAAAATCTGAAAATTACTTATAGTTCTGATTTATTTCACTTTCTTTTTTTAAATATATATTTTATTGATTTTTTTTTTTTTTAACAGAGAGGAAGAGAGAGGGATAGAGAGTTAGAAACATCGATGAGAATCATCAATCAGCTGCCTCTTGCACATCCCCTAACGGGGATGAGCCCGCAACCAAGGTACATGCCCTTGACCGGAACCGAACCTGGGACCTTTAAATTCACAGGCAGATGCTCTATCCACTGAGCCAAACCGGTTTCGGCTGATTTATTTCACTTTCTTTAATCTTCTAAGAACTCTAAGAATGCCTGAGTCACTTCTGATACCCTTTATCCACCTATTCTCCTCCTTCCCCTTGAGCAAGGCAAAATCCCAAAGTCCCATGAGGCTCAAAGCTGCTGAGAGATGGGTGTGGAGACAAAGTAGAGCAGGGAGGAGCTATCAACAGGTTTTCAACAAGCCTCCCAGCAGTGCTAAGCTGGAGATACTGGTAGCTTTCTGGAAGAAGGAGTGGCACTCATTTAAGTCTTTGCCCTGTGACACTGCAGGCAGGCACAATGACAGACTCTACTCGTTATTTGGAATTAAGGGATGAAAGGAGCCAGATATTGGAGTTCTCATACCAAGGCTGGGCTTGAGAACACAGCATGTTTGTAGTACTCGTGGAGTGTCTGATTGAAGGAGTGCCAGGATCTACAGTGGCTGCTTTAAATTAACCAGCCTACAGACATGTCTGAGGTAAATTACCAGAAAGGATCCTGCAATGTCCTTTCCAGCCTCAGGGAGGAGCAGGGCCGCATCTCAGATCCCTGACATTATCTTCCTACTACCAATAGCATCGTGCCCAAGCTGCATCATATACAGCGGGAAACACGATAATGAACAAAACACTCCCAATAAGCATCAAGTCTTAGCCCTTACTCATAGTTCCAATCTTGAGAAACTACTGCCCTCCTAGGCCTGCACCTTCCTGAGAGGGATGGGACACCCTGGTGAAGAATGTGGATTCTGGAGCCAGAGTGATCTGGGTTCAAAGTCTGGCTCTACACACTTATTAACTGTATAGCCCAGACAGATGAGGTGAGTCTCTATGTCTCAGGGTTCCCATTTGTAAAATGAGAATAAAATACAATCCCTAGTTTATGGGGTGCTGTGAAGACTGAGGAAGTTAATATATGCAAAGCACACAGAACCATGCCTGGAAGTGGTTCTTTTTTTTTTTTTTCAATATATATATATTATTGATTTTTCACAGAGAGGAAGAGAGAGGGATAGAGAGTTAGAAACATCGATGAGAGAGAATCATCGATCAGCTGCCTCTTGCATACCCCCTACTGGGGATGTGCCCGCAACCAAGGTACATGCCCTTAACCGGAATCGAACGCGGGACCTTTCAGTCCGCAGGCCGACGCTCTTTCCACTGAGCCAAACCGGTCCCGGCTGGAAGTGTTTCTTAAGTTACTGAGAGTTAATAGCGATCAGGTTGCTCAGAGTCAACACTCAACTAACATTAGTTTTCCTTCCAAAAACTCTAGTACCCGCTCATTCTTTCTTTTCTCACTTTCTAGGACTTGATCCTCTGCCTACCCAGACATCTGGTAAGACACATTTCTAGTCCTACAAGGGCAGTCTTGGTTCACCATCCCCTTGCACTATGATAACACATCCATTATGAAAATAAAGCCAAAAGAAAAAAATGCTTCCTTAACAAATTATAGTAGTAAGTTGAAATTGAAGCACTGTATGAACTAAATTTCCTTATGTGAACTAGAAATTATAGCTCTTACTACCTATGTCGGAAGTTATTGATGTGTTCATTAAATCATTAACAGTTTCAACATTTACAGTGGAGATGATTTTGCTTATACTAATACTATATTAAAATAAAAATATTTCAAAAAATCGTATTTCTACTCACCTTCCCTTCTTCAGAGCTCTCAGATTCAATATGTTGATACCTGGCTACCTAGAAAATTTAGTTCACATGGTCAGCCCACAGAGAAATTTCCAAGGCAGCAGCTATTAACACTTTACTTAATTAGGAACAGTGGTAGTCAAATTTTAGCAAGCACTGAATCACCTGGAGGCCTGCTAAAACACATTGCTGTGGCCTATCATTGGACTCGGGCTCAGCAGGTCTATGGTAGGAACCAAAGAATGTACCTTTCTAACAAAGTTCTAGTTGATGCTGATGCTGCTGGTCTAGGGATGCACATTGAAAGCCACTGCTTATGAGGAAGAAAATTGAGACTTGTGGCTATATGAATGGCGGCTCATAAGGAATAACTCAGATGATATTTTAAAGAAAGCATTTCCTAAGAAACTACTGTCTTCATCTGACTGGAACATACACAGCCACCTTGGCTCAAAGCCAGTGAAAATTGTGAAGTTTTAGGTATAAAAGGTGTGTGTGTGTGTGTGTGGTGTGTGTGTGTGTCAGATATCCCTGTTCTGATACTTACTGGAGTAGCACAGGACAGCCCCCAAAGGAACATAAGCAGGATGCTGGTGTTCATAGCTGGATGTGACACCTTCACCTGTGATGAAAGACAGATGTTTTTCTCCAGGCTACAAAAATATAGGAGCTTCAACTTTTTAACAGTTTTTTCCTATTTAAGACATAACTCATCACATGCTCGCGCGTGCGCGCACACACACACACACACACACACACACACGCACAGTGGCTTTTCAGTCACACATAACCTCATAATAATGTCTACACAAAATATATCAGTTTTGCCCCCCCCCCTTTTTTTCCCCGAGATCTGCAAGAAGTGCGCTATGTCAGGCTTCGTATCACAGCTCCGGGAAGCTCATAATATCTCCTGTACTACATTTAGTCACACATTCTACATAAATACGCTCAATTCTTTTCAGTGTCATTCACAGTACTGCAGGCTTTCGGGAAGATGAGAGGATTGGTTGTGCTTGTGAATCATGCTCCAAGAAACAGGCCAAATCAAACTGCCTTTTTCTGGAGGCTTCATTTCACACCTCAAGCACTGGTAAGTTGGAAAGCAATTTGTTCTATCTCTAAAAATAAAAGTACTAGATGCTAAAGAGTTTTTGAAATGACTTAAAAGGAAAGTCATTGGCCCTAACAAACTAGTTAGATAGACTTCCATACATGTTGGAAAAAAAAAATTCCTGCAAGTGTATTGCAGACTTCACTATTGTCTATTTGTTTTTTCAAATATTAAATACATGCCATACTAGTGACAAAAGATCAAAGGCAGAGATTCTCAACCTTGTCTGTTCATTCGTTTCTCTGGGGAGATTTGAAGGTATATCAATGCACAAATCCCACAGCTGAGTAAGTAATCACTTTACTAGGGGTGGGAATAGGCATGGAGTTTGATTCTAAGGTACACTAGGTGATTTTAATCCTTGATCTGAGAAAATAAGTGTACACTGCTCAAAAATGTCTGGATATGCTAAATAATGTCTGAAGCATTTGGCTTGAGAAGTCATTTCATCTTCTTTTTCAATTTATTCAAGAAAACAATAGAAATCCTAAAATAGGAGGCTGAGCACATCCCTCATTTCTATATTCATACGCTCAAGCAGTCCAGCAGTGCCCCTTATTTTCTGTCACAAGCAGTATCCCTCTTGAACATTGTCATCCTTAATGTCTGTAATTTTCTTTATCCTAATTCCGTATAGGTCATATTAGTCCTTGCATTTTGATATTATTTAAATTTTTAAAATCCTTTGCCTAATATAACTGCACCTAAAACTAGACTAATTCAGCAAGATATTACTTCTGAAGAAAAGCAGAAAATCTCATCCCCCAAATATGCCTCTTGGACATGAAACTTATTTTGAGCTAAAGGCACTTGAGAAACAGCAGATGCAAGAAGGCACACTGATCCACCTTCTTCTCCCTGAAAATAGGAGCTCAAATTCCCATGTGAGCGAGTCTTCTCTGAATCATAAGGAAGGAAGTCATCTTACCTCCAAAGATGAGCCTCAAGGCATAAACTAGCCTTGTTAAACTAACCCTTATCTTCCCTTCACTTCTGCACAATTTACTGCCCAAAGCCCCCAAACCCTTTCTTGTTAATTCTTCACAAATGTGTTGTTTCTTTGTCTAAAAAGTATAATATTGATAGCTTTCTGTGATGGTCACTTCAGGTTTTCATTCTCTTTTGAAGGCTCCCATGTCCATGTAAGAATTTAATAAAACTTATATGCTTTTTTCCTGACAGTCTGTCTAAAGTCAATTAAATTCTTAGGCCCAGCTGAAGTCCCTAAGAGAGTAGAATTTCCCTCCTCTACACTTCCCTTTGGTTTCCACACTCAAAACATTTTTTTTAAGTTCTTAGGTTTATTTCTTAAGGAAAGGAAAGTTTCCCCCAAATATGATACTCTCAAAATAACTGCATGCCAATGGTTTTGGCTTCATAGGTCAAATGAAAAGTAAGCTGCTCACCATTTTAATTTTCAAAGTGAAATTTGAATAGGGTGGTGATCTCCCGATGCTCTGAAAACTAGAAAATATTCTAGCCTTGATAAAAGGCCAATGAATACTAAGTTCTTCTTGTGTTTTCTTTTCTCTCTTATCCAAATAACAAATCAAAACAAACAAAAAAAATGAGGAGGTGATCTACACCAATGAATGTTATGGATGTGCTTTTTTTTTTTTTTTTTTTTTTTTTTTTAATAAAGGAAATATATGCTTCCAGCGGTCAAGTTCCTCAGGAATGGACTATCATGAAACACAAGATGCACTAATGTGCTTATGCTTCTAGAAATACTGTTAACATCCTGACTTAAAAGTAATAATTTCCCAAATGGAGGTCTGATAAGAATAAAATATACCCTGGGGTCCTGAGAGATCTGACATTGCCTCCCAAAGAATATCACCTGCCATCAAGGATTAAAGAAAGTCAGATTTTACTCAGCTGGTATGACTCAATGGTTGAGCATTAACCTATGAACCAGGAGGTCATGGTTCAATTCTAGTCAGAGCACTTGCCTGGGTTGTGGGCTTGATCCCCAGTCGGGAGAGTGCAAGAGGCAGCCGATCAGTGATTCTCTCTCATTATTGCTGTTTCTATCTCTCTCTCCCTCTCCCTTTCTCTCTGAAATCAATAAAAATATATTTTTAAAAAGAAATATATTCTTTAATTACTGTTGTTTATTTTTTAAAATGTTACTTTTGTGAAATGTATTATCAAATGAGAGTTCCAGACTTTTATAAACTTTTTTGTTGCCACCCTACACAGACTACAATCTCATATGCAATAGTCCTATTTTGAGTAATAAATTAGAAAAATAGCTACAAGCCTGAAAGATATTAATCCAGAACCTCAAGTTCTTCTTCAGTTATTTGTAAATGTCACTCCTACATCCCTATTATTCTATCATAAGCGCATGGAACAAAAGGAAATCAACAACCTCAATTTGAGTTCCACCTGTTTGGAAGGCAGTGTACATATTAGAGACTTTCAGCCTTCATTAATTGTTTTCCCAGAGCTGAATAGATAGAAAATAATTAGGATCTGGAGAGGACAATTGTAGTTCCTTCTCCCTCTGGCTACCCTCAAGTATAGCCTAAACTTCTTTGTGCTCTCAAGTAAGGAAACTTGTTCTCGAATTTCCTCAAAGTTAATGTTCACTTCTAAAGTATATATCTTAATTCACTGAATTTACATACTTTACAATGAAGAGATAGGCCAAAAGAAGGAACAAAGAGCTTGAATAATCTTTGACTCTATTTATCAAGCTTATTTTAACTTGGTTTTGGCTTAGCATGATTGTTCTTAGTAATACTAATGAACACTTTATCCCCTCATTGGTAGTCAACAAATATTTGTGGGTACATCTTATGTGCCAAACACTATGCTGAGAGTGCAACAGAATATAATAACAACAATGAGCTGGTCTTATAAGAGGAAAATTACCCAGAACCCAACTAACTAGAACATTAGCTAGAATTTATTTGATTATTACTCTTTGAAAATAAAGTGCAGTTTGACCAGGACATTAATTCTATCAGAAATTCAGAAAAACAAACCAATAAATCAATAAAAATGTCCCATCTCACCAGTTATAATTGTCTTGAGATCAATTATAATCAATCCCATGTCATATACTTTCAACCACAGTTTAATAACTTTTAGGTTCCCAAAATCAGATAGATTTGGAAGACCTCTAAGCATCTGAGGCCCATTGGTCCACATCACCATTTTGGGTTAGGCAAGTAGACTGACTAATGCCCTTTAGAAAACTGTCCACATGTTGTAATCAACCATATTAAAGTAAAATAGTCTACTTGGCCATCAATTAAACATGTATAGTTTACCTGATGTTAATGCTCTTGAAAAAGACAGGTTTCTAGAAGTGTTGCTATGACACATGGAATCTTCTATATGTCACCCAGAATGCATTGCCTCACCATAGAAGACAGACACTTCCAACACAGATCAAGTGGATTAAATGCAGCAAATAAAAATACATATGGAGCCCTACCTGGTTTGGCTCAGTGGATAGAGCATCAGCCTGTGGACTGAAGGGTCCCAAGTTCAATTCTGATCAAGGGCACATGCCCAGGTTGAGAGCTCGATCCCCAGTAGGGTGTATGCAGGAAGCAGTGGATCAATGATTTTCTCTCATCATTGATGTTTCTATCTCTCTCTCTTTTTACTTCCTTTCTGAACTCAATAAAAATATATTTTAAAAAATACGTATTATACACTAGAAAATGATTTTTCCCACCAGTTAAAAGCTGTCATTTATTTTTATTTTTAATTGAAATTCTTTATTGTCTATTTTTACATGAGTCTCCTTTTCCCCTCATTGACCTTTCCACTGCCACTCCCACCTTCCCAGCACACGCTGTGAACACCCTACTGTCTGTGTCCATTGGTTATGCTCATATGCATGCATACAAATCCTTTGGTTAGAAAATGTTTTAAAGACAATAGTATTCAACATTTACTGAATTCTGACATTATGCAAGGCATTGTGTTACTATAAATACCCAGCTAAACAATACAAAAACATTATAATTATTACACTCTGGGTTTATTTCAGTGGTCTTAGTATCTTTTTTTAGTTACTCAGTTCATAATGAATTTTATTGGATGATCTGTAGATGAATAGCATTAAATGGTTTTTCACTTCAAACACCATATTTTTAAAATCCTGCCAGTCTACTTTAGATTCTTTCATAATGTCTTATAGGTAATGACCCTTACTATATCCATGAAACCTAAATGTAAAAGTTTGATCTGTTTTGTTAATTAAAGCTAAACTTCTGAATTACTTTCCACCTGCCCTCCTGTTCTGTAAACTTTCCTTTTCAAAAGTACTATGCAGAGATCTGATTAAAGTACACTGAGAAAAACACCTGGTTCTATTGACTTATGTCATTTTAATATCATCATTTACTATGGCATACACAACAGGCACACACAAAATGAAAGTCATTTTTACCCAAGGCACAGTCTTACCCATCTTTCTCCACATGACATGCCTCTCAACATGTACACACATTTAATAATTTTCA